TAGGCAGTGTTACCAAAGGAGTTACTCTGCGTCTGTGACGTTTGTTCTTTAGTTGGAAGTCTGTTCCAGAGACATCTTCACATCTTCTTCTCAGAAGCTGTCCGCAGAGCTTCATCTTGCTGCTTTTGTACCTCCACCAGCTCTCCCATCAATGGATTGAAATTGTCAGAAGAAAAATGTGTTTTTCCTTTCCCATTTATGTGTATAAGGCTGTAACTGGTATTTCCAGAGCAAAAAAATAAAAAAATAAAAAACAACAAAAAAAGGAAACAAACAAAAAATATCTGGAGATTTACTATAGAAAGAAAAAACATTGAATTGAATATCCTTTTTAAATTTTGTTATTAAATTTATTCATTTTGAGAGAAACAGTGACAGTGTGTTGGGGGGGGGGGCAGAGACACTGGGGGAGGGCCAGAGAGAGGGAAACAGAGAATCCCAAGCAGACTCCCTCTGTAAGCACAGAGCCCCACCCAGGGACTGTGAGATCATGACCTGAGCTGAAACCAAGAGTTGGACACTTAATGAACTGAGCCACCCAGACACCCCTTAACTGAACATCTAATGAAAAAACATTTAAGCGTCCTTTAACTGTTCCCACTGGGTCTCAGCAGAAGTACAAGGACAGTTGTATTTCTTCAGATTGTCAACAGTGATGATCTGAGAAAAAAACTGCCCAAATGATGTGGGTGCAGGGAGATAGTAGGAGACCACAGAACATAATGGAAGGAGGGACACAGTGAGGAAAAGACAATAGCCAGATGCTTAAGGCGTTTCATGAAAAAACATATTCTCTTATAATGAATGTTCTCAGCAGTCCTGGATGAATGGATACGTATGTATTTTTCCTTTATAACTGTATGAGTAATTTGTACTGGCATTGTCGATATGAGTAAGATAAGCTATTTCAGAGAATGATAGGTGATAGAAGTGACATGGTGCATTGTAACAGAGGGGACTACTTTGGATAAGGTTGGGAGTAGGCAGGCATTTTTTAATAAGTGACAATTGAAGTGCAACCTGAATGATGAGAAAAGAGACAGCTGTATGAATAGTTGCCAAAGAGCATGCCAGGCAGTGGGAAAAGCTTGGAATCATATAGGGTCGCAGAGGGTCTAATTATAGCTTCTTATCAACTTGGTTCTCACTCTGTCATCTTTTAGTCACTGAAACAGTGCTTGTCCCCCTTTAAGAACTGAGGAAAACTCTGAACAAGCATAGGGTATAGGAAAACTTCTATAAGTAAGACAGAATGAATATGCATTCTAAATGACAGTGGGTTATAATAGGAAACACTCTGGTTTAGGAATAGTCCTAAGAAACTTAATGTGTATCATTTGCTTACTCTCAGCCAGGGTCTCCTAAGTTTTGGTGAGCACTTTGGATTTCAATCTAAGGGCAGTGAATTAATTCACTAAATGGCCTTAAGTGAATAGTGCATGATTTGAGTTATGTTTTGAAAAGCCTACCTTGGATATTTGTGGAGAATGGATTATAGAAGGACGATGGGGAACCCTGGGGAACCAAGTGGGGATGCTTTTGTCATTGTCAGGAGAGACAGTGAAAGAGATGGGTGGACAGTAGTGCCCTTTGCTGAAAGAGCAAGCGGAAATTTATTCCAGCAAGTAGAGGAAGCTTCCAAAGTTCTGCTTGGAAATGTTAATTTTTAATCACAGTTTGGGCAACCTTTTCTGAAGAGGGTGAGCAGTTGCTCCCCTTTCCTAAATTGACCTTTGGCACAGCCAAGACAGCACCTCTTTCCAAGAAGCTGTTTGTATGGTTGTTAATACCAGGTCTGGAGCTAGACTAAGGACATAAAGACTCCGCTCTGCGTGTTACTAGCTGTGTGTGACCTTGAACTTTCTGACGTATTAAATTGTATATGCCTCAGTTTCCTCAGATAAAAAGAGGATGTACTATCTTCCTTCTAATGGGGTTTTCAGAGATTAATTACATTAGTTAATGTAAGGCCTTAAAATAGGGCCAGGCACATTGTAAGTGTGTGATACACATTAAGTTTCTTAGAACTATTCCCAAACCACAGTACTTTGTTTTAACATCCACTCTTTAGAATATATATTCATTCTATATTATTTATAGAAATTTCCCTGTACCCTATGCTTGTTTAGAGGCTTCTCCAATTCTTTTTTTTCAACTTTTTTTTTTTTTTTTTTTTGGGACAGAGAGAGACAGAGCATGAACGGGGAGGGGCAGAGAGAGAGGGCGACACAGAATCGGAAACAGGCTCCAGGCTCCGAGCCATCAGCCCAGAGCCTGACGCGGGGCTCGAACTCACGGACCGCGAGATCGTGACCTGGCTGAAGTCGGACGCTTAACCAACTGCGCCACCCAGGCGCCCCGAGGCTTCTCCAATTCTTAAAGGAAACTGAGTGTTAAGGGGAGGCTATAATTAGTTGAATTATGATATTTTAGCTCTTTGTGCAATTCTTATCAACAGCATTTGGATGTTATGCAGTGAACTCAAGAGATCTACGAGTAGGTTCCCTGACCTGTATATACTGGAAGTTGGGCTATCATTGGAGACTTACCTTAAAGAATACTGTCTTGTTTTCCTCAGTAAGTTTAAGGTTATGAAAAGTATTCTTTTGTATTTTTTTCTACTTTCTTTCCACTTTTAATTAGTTTAGTAAATCAATCATTGCTCTAAATGTAAAACCATAGAATTATAGAGCAGAACTGGGATTTTGGAATGCAAAAAAAATTGATATGTAACCAATGTATAACTAAAAATACTGAGTTTCTAAGGCATAACTAAATAAAACATTTCATTATGAAGCTGGAAACAACTCATTTCATTATGAAGTGGGAAATATCATAGAAATATAAATAATCCTCAAGAAATGTCTGAATTTCAGCAGAGCCAAACCTGCTGAGGGGCCTTGTCACATTTGCACCACTTGGTATTTTTTTCTGAAGAACATTAGTGAGAATTTTGATGGTATATTGTTTATACTTCACAAAGCTATGAAACTCTGTGAGTTATTTTACCTCTAAGACCATAAGACATAATCATATATTAAAAAAAAAACATAGGAACAGAGAGTATATTTGGTGACTGCTTTGACAGAAATATTGGTTTCAGAACAAAAGAGTTAAATTTGCCTCTTCTTGGTTTGGTCAGACACTACCTAGACATCACAGCTGAGAATGGTTGTTAATAGATAGAGATTGACATGGATGATGAAGTCTCTAGTAATCATGTCTGCATGAAAACCTGAAGAACCATTGACTTCAAATAATTAGATGGCTGTTATGTAGAAGAAAGGATTTATTCTTTTTAGCTTTGTGTGAAAGTTATTGGAAGGCATACAAAGAAACAATTTTTCAAGCATAAATAATTGCTGAAAATACACGAGAAACATTAGACTACAGAAATTCCCGAGTTCTTTGTTTTTCTGTTTCTTTTCTTTTTTTTTCCCCTGGTTCACCTGTCTATTCTAGAAAAAAAGCTATTACAAGGATGTCTAGTTACCAAGGAGAAAATATGGTCAAGTTGTTAAAGTGATTTCATTCTTCTATATGATTACATGGCTTAAAATTCACAAATAATATCATAATCTTACATGTTACAAAATTGCAAAGATAAATTTTCATCCCAACGATCTCTCACAGAGGTAAGTCCACTGGGAGATAGATCACAATGAACCCTCTCAAAAGCATCAATGTGATATAATTTAAGAGATTCCATTTGAAAAATTATGCATTCTAACTGTCTTTCTATAGAGGGAGAATCCAGAATCATTGGTCAAAAGTATGCAATAGTTCTAAAAGACCAGACATTTAAAAAATAGTAACAGCCCTTATTTATTTTAATGCTACAGTTTATTGAATCATAATAACTGTGTACACACGAGGAAAAACAAAGACAAACTGACATCAGCCTCCAATGTTTTAACAGATGACCATAATTGTAACTCAATGAAATAAGCATACTTTTCTCTCTATCTCCCTCTCTCTTTCTCTCTCTTTCTCTCTTTTAATGTGGGCATAATAACCAGGATCAAAATAAGGAATTATATTAACAAGACTGTTTCATTTACTTATTCATAGATTTAATAAGTAGAGGCTAGAGCTTGCTGGTTTAATTTTCATTTTATTCAAATTTATATTTGCCCTTCCACAAATTCATTTTGCTGAATGGATTTCTATTTCCCAGTCAAGCTGGCAAAAAGGTTCCTTGGTACATTAGAATGTTAAATGGTATCAAGACAAAGTAAGTAAATAAAAATAATTAAAATGAATAGTTTATCATCATCTAAATGCAAAGTAGTACAACACAGAGGAAGCCAATGCCATCTTTTCCCATTATTCACTTCACAGTTATTAATTGTGCCGTATACATCCCAGTAAAAAATGAGAAATTTTGACAACAGGGCTGTGAATTGGAAAGACAAGTATGCACTTCAGCTGTATGGATGTATGTAATAATATAAAAAGTATAAATATTGTTACAATTCCAAAATTAATGCTGAAAGGACTGAGGGTTATTTTAAAAACAAACTTTATTTTGGTAACAGTTTTAGACTTGCAGAAATGTTGCAAAGAGGTACACAGAGTTCTCATAACCTTAGAACAGATTCTCTTATTACTAACATCTTAACACTAGCAGGATTCATTTATTACAATTAGGGAAACAATACTGATATATTGTTATTAACTAAATTCAATACTACATTAAAATTTATTAGATTCTTACCTAATGTCTTGTTTTCTGTCCCAGCATACATCCTAGAGTACCACATTACATTTAGTCATCATGTCTCCTAAGGCTCCTCTTGTGACACTTTCTCATACTTGCCTTTTTATCATTGATGACCTTGATAGTTTTGAGAAATACTGGTTAGGTATTTTGTAAAATGTCCCTCTTTTGAGGACTGTTTCCTGTGTTTCTCATATTAGACTGGAGTTATGGATTTTTGGGGGAAGGCCCTTTGAGGTAAAGTGCCATGTTTGTGACATCATATCAAGGGTACATAATGCCACCAGGACTTGTCAATATTGGTGTTGTCCTTGATCATCTAGCTAAAAGTGTATTTGTCTGGTTTCTCTAACTATGAAATTCTTACCTCTAACCCCACCCCCTTCATACTGTACTCCTTGGAACAAAGTCACTATGCCAACATTTATGGAGTTGAGAGGTATGTTCCACCTATTGAGGGTAGGAAATCTATATAAATATATTGCTTCTACACAGAATATTTGTCTCTTTCAACTTTATTTGCTTATTTAATAGTTTACTTATATCAGTATGGTCTCATGGAAACTTAATGAATACATTGTGTTATAATCTGATACTACCTTCTTTGTGTTCAAATTGTTTTAGCTGTGACTATTTGGAAACAGTTTCAGTTGGTTCCTGTGTCCCTTTGAATTATCTCCATTATTGGGGGTATTTGTTGTTAATTCTTATTTGCCTAATAAATAGGCAAATATTTATTTATTTATATGCATTATCTTTTAGGGTAGTATTAGATGTGCAGCAAAATTGATAGGAAGGTATGGAGATTTCCCACTCTCACAATCTGTCATTTAATTGGTGTATTCAGATTATTCATATTTGAAGTGATTATTGATATGTTTATCATGTTTGTTTTCTATCTGTTGTGGTAATTTTCTCTTTCTACCTTCTGTAGTTTCGATTATTTTATATAATTTTATTTATTTCCTCTCAGGTGTCGGTTCTACTTCCTTTAAACTTTTTATTAGTTTTCCTAGAGTTTACATTATTAATTTTTAACTCATCTTCCTCCACCTTCAAACAATGACATATTGCTTTGTAGGTACTGCAGGATCCTTACAACAGATTGTTCTCAACTGTTCTCAACGTTTCTTTCCTTTCTCTTATGATATGGCTGTCACTTGTTTCACATCCATATGCTGTATTTACCCAATACACTACTCTTAATATTTTAAACAAGCCATTATGTTTTACATCAATTAAAAGTGAAGGAAAAATTTGCCCTAATTTATTACTGCTCGGATGTTCTTTCTTCCTTTTTGTAAATTTGAGTTTCTTCACTATATCATTGTCCATCTCTTTGAAGAACATCTTTTAACATTTCTTGCTGGGTAGACCTCCTGGCAATGAAGTCCCCCTCAGCTGTTGTTTGTCTGAAAAAGTCATTATTTCTTCTACATTTCTGAAAAATAATTTCACTGGATATTGAATTATATGTTGCTATTTTTTTTCTTTTAATATTTTTTAGTATTTTACTCCAGTTCCTTCTTGCTTCCATGGCTTCTGACAAAAAGTCCTCTAAAGTCTTATCCCTGGGTTTCCTGCATGGCTCAGTCAGTTAAGCATCAGACCTTAATTTTGGCTCAGGTCATGATCTCACAGTTTGTGGGTTCAAACCCCGTGTTGGGCTCTGCAGTGACAGTGCGGAGCCTTCTTGGGATTCTCTCACTCTCCCTTTCTCCCTGCCCCTTCTCTGTTCTTGTGCATGTGCACAACCTCTCTCTCTCTCTTAAAATATATAAACTTAAAAAAAAAAGTCATATCCCTGTTCCTCTATAGATAAGATAATGCCAAACTCCCTTGTAATATTGCAATTTATAAGAAATATATATTTGGTTATTCAGATATGATATATGTGAATACATATAATGAGTTTCCTGAGTTCTGTGAGCTACTCTAGCATTAATCAAACCCAAGGAGGGGGTATAGGAACCTCTGATTTATAGCCAGTGGGTCAGAAGCACCTGGACTTGTAATTGGCACCTGAAATGGGGGCCATTTGTGTAGGACTGAACCCTTAACCGGTGGAACCGTGCTATCTCTGGGCAGATAGTATTGGAATTGAGTTGAATTGTAGGACTCCCAGCGGGTGTTGGAGAATTGCATGATGGTGTAAGGAAAAACCTACATACATTGGATTTGGGCACAGAATTTTTACCCCTCACTCCTGCTCTGTTTTTTGTTTTGTTTTGTTTTGTTTTAAGATTTTCTCTTTATCTTCAGTTTTCTGAAATTTTAATCTGAGATGGGTAACTATAGAGTTTTTTGGTATTTGTCCTGCCTGGTATTTTCTGTGCTTCTCGGGTCTTTTTTTGGTATTTGACATTAATTTTGGGAAATTCTCAGTAATTATTAATGCAAATATTTTTCTCCCATAATTCTCAGATTTTATTTTTATTTATTTATCTTTTTTCTCATTAATTTTCATCTTTGAATACCAGTTGTGGTAGTCTCCATATAGCTTTAAGCCCACTGATTCTTTTCTTGACTATGTCCATTCTATTCATGAGGTTCAAAGACATTCTTCATTTCTATTAATGTTTTTTTAAGTTTATTTATTTTGAGAGAGAGAGTGAGTGTGTGTGTGTGTGTGTGCACGTGTGTGTGTGTGCGCGCCAACAGGGGAGGGGCAGAGAGAGAATGTGTGTGTGTGCGTGTGTGTGTGTGTGTGTGTGTGCAAGTGGGGGAGTGGCAGAGAGAGGGAGAGAGAATGTGTGTGTGTGTTTGTGTGTCTGTGTGTGTCTGTGTCTGTGCAAACGGGGGAGGGGCAGAGAGAGAGAGGGAGAGCGAGAATCCCAATCAGGCTCTGCACTGTTAGTGCAGAGGCCAGTGCAGAGCTTGACTTCACAAACTGTGAGATCATGACCTGAGCCAAAATCAAGGGTCGAACTCTTAACCGACTGAACCCCAGGTACCTTCTATTAATGTTTTTGGTTTCTAGCTTTTCCCTTTGATTCTTTCCCAGAGTTTCCACCTTTATTTTACATTTCCTGTGTGTCCTGACATATTGTCTGCTTTTTCCATTAGAACTCTTAAGATGTTCGTTATTTTAAATTCACTTTCTGATAATTCAAAAATCTATGTTCAATCTGAAAATGGTTCTGATGCTTGCTTTGCCTCTTTAGACAGCTGCTTTTCTTTAACCTTTCAGCATACCTTTTACTTTTTGTTGTTGTTGTTGAAAGGCTGACATAATGTATAAGATAACAGGACCTGAGAAAAATAAGTAAGTCTCTACTTTTAGGTTTTGTGTTTATGTGGCTAGGAATTGGACTGTATTTAATGTTGCTGTAGCTGCATGTGCCAGAAACTTCAATTTCCTCTAGATTCCCTGTTTTGGTCTCCCTTCTGTTTTGGGCTTCTCTAAGAAAACTGCTGTTTAGGTAGAACCTTTGTCTTTCAACTATCATCCACAATTTTTACACGTGAGCCCTGTTGGCATCATAGTAAGGGTTAGGGGAAAGCAAATGTCCTGTAACTTTACAATTAAATCCCAGTCTTTTAGTGGGCCTTTCCCTAGAATATAACCTTCACAAAGCTTTCTTAGCTTCCACTTACATGATACAAGAACATTAGAGTAGACTGGAATCCAGAGGGAAATGGCTTTTCCTCAAGGTGGATAAGTCTCTGGTAGTCTTTCTTTTTCCCTGGAGAGTAGGTATTTGTTACGGAAAACACTCTAGGCACATTTTACAAATGTTGCTTTTCCTCTCTTCCAACAACTATTAGAGGGTCTTTCTTAGCTTTTTACCATAATGACATGGTTGGTACCTTCTCTCCTGGAGGTAAAACCCAGGAAAGGATGGGGATTCCTAAAGCCAGGGATTTGAAGTCCAAGTATTTATGATTCTCATGCTACTCTATAGTTAATTTTCATTAATTCATCAAAATTATCTAATTATTACTTGTTTAGAGTCCCTGTATCTTCTGCTCCAACTAAAGAGATCTTGGCTGTGGCTTTTTCTATTTGCCTGTCTCTCTAGATTTCTGGGTGATGGGTTCCCTTGCAGCCTCAATTCTCTGATGGATCCAAGAAAAATTTGCTTAGCTTCATTCTTATAGTAAGGACAGGGTGACAACTTTCAAACTATTTATAGGTTGAGGTAGAAACCAAAAATCATCAATGGTCATTTTTTACAATTCATTTTTAGAGTAGTTACATTAGAGAAATTAAAACAAAAAATTTTAAGAGAGAGAGAGAGAGAGAGAGAGGCAGAGGGGCAGAGAGAGAGGGAGACACAGAATCCAAAGTAGTCTTGACATGAGGCTCGAACCCACGAACTATGAGATCATGACCTGAGCCAAAGTTGGACGCTTAACCAACTGAGCCACCCAGGCACCACTATTAGAGAAATTTTAAAGGTCTAAAATGTTCATAGCATTTAGGAAGACCAGAATACTCAAAACTTTAAATGGAAGTGATCTATTTTCCTAGATACATAAGGTTACTAATTTTTACACAAAATAAAAATAGTTTTACTGTATTTGATAAAATATTAGCTTAAAACTCTAAGATTTTTATATTAAAATTGAAAATATAGTTAAATTCTCAATCAGTTGAATAAGTGTACATGTATTTATGTACGTTTACTGTGTGCTAAGGACTATAATGGATATTTTCAAAGTAAATCTTATCCTCACCTTACAAATGTGTGAGATAAGCTTTATTATTCCCATTTTATGGAGTAAGAAAGTGAGACACTGAAATTTGTGCTTTTAAAACTAATTATTTTATCTCTCTAAAGAATCAGGAATTATCTATTTCAGATATTTGGGATGGTGGAAAGATGTATGCTAATGAGTTTAGCCAAAGTCACATTTCTAGATTAGATCACTTTGCAATCAGAAATAGTATCTCCGATTACACAAGTATGTCTTGGCCATCTGTTCTTAAAGCATAGAGATAAAAGAGTAACCCTGATTATAAAAGTAAAATATTTTATTGTGTTCTTACTCATTGATACCTATACTTATTATTAATATGAAATGTCTCCTTAGTACTTTTCAAAATACCAAAGGCAGTAAAGTAGAATAAATTGCATTGTTGTACACTTGACACCCTTAACATGAAATGATAAATATAATGCAAAGCTTTGTTTGTTCCATGACTAAATGAAGATAAATCTTTTTTTTCTGCATTTAATAATAAGCTATCCAATCTCCTATCTGTGTCCTATAAAGTAGTGTGTTTCAAATTTAGTTGTAATTTTTAAAAACTTTTGACTGTAGGCTTCAACAATCAAAGTTGCTTTCCCGTAAGTAAATTATTTTCAGAGTACAGTGTAGATACCAGGAAAACACAATGATCTATTGTCTTTCATGTATACAATTTGTTGAATAGGATGCTCTAAATTAAGAGCTTGGAAAACATCTTTACTGGTATTTGAAATAATTAGGTGTGAAAGTCATGATCCAAGACCCTTTTAAGATTTAGATTTTAAGTGATTTCTCTTCTACTTGTCAAGTCCTGACATTTTATCCTTTGGTATTTAAAGAAGCGGGGATTCCATTCTTCCCCCAAACACTGCAGACAAATTATACTTAGTCTACATAACCAGTACTATAAAAGCAACCCGGTTTAGATACTCAAAAGAATTGACAATTTCCTGTGAAAAGGTATTTGCCCACCCATATAAGAACAGGTCTTTATATTTAGAAAAAATACTTTGATTAATGATTTTTACAGTGCAATTTTCCATTGGGAAAAGTATTATTGTTCCTTTGACCAGTAAATCCAACTATTACCAAGCACCCTTTTTCTAGGTTTTAGGCATTTTAAATTCAGTGTCCCAAACTCAACTCATCTCTGTCCCTTACCTTCCCCTCACAATACTTAAATTAATAAAGTATAAAAGACTTCATTGGAAGTGATATTATAAAGTTACTTGTTTATATTTTTTAAAATGTTACCTTCCTAGAATGCAAACTTCTCAAGAACCTGAAGCTTTCTCTGCATTAGTTGCTAATAAATCTCAAATACCTAGAACAGTACCAAGCATGTAGTAGATGTTCAATTAATATTGATTCAATGGATGCCTCCTCCTACTAGAATATAAGGTCTCTGAACTCTACAATTTTGTCTGCTGACAGTTATATTCTAGTGCTACAGTAGGCATTCACTAAATACCTGTTGACTGACCAGCTAAATGGTAGATTGAATAAAATTATACTAGTATTAAAATATTGACAGTGGAAGGGGAACATGGAAAAATATCCTCTACTATCTCTAAGCAATAAATGTGATTTACCAATGATCCATTCTATATAATTTACTTGTTAGATTATGATACAACTGAAAATAAATTTGTTATATTTTTGATGTTGCACAATGATGTGTTACCTTTTTACTAAATCTTCCTGAAGATTGAATTAACTTAAAACATCAAGTCAGCTATTAAGACAGACCAAAAAACATATTTGAGCCTTTCAAGCATGAAGTTTGCATATTACAATGGCCTTCACCATTTAGGACAAATAATATCTCAGATAAAAATTTTAAATTGTCACTGTGAAAGGCTTTTCAAATTCCAACAATACCAAAAGTAGAAAAGACCTCACTGAAGGTAATGCTGAGGTCTTAGCTACGTTTGCATGCATATGGTTTGATGCATTGATGACTTTAATTATTATGAAAATGATAATAATACCTGAATTCAACATATGTTTATACAGAGATATTTTAGGAGTTTGAAATAGATGACTGAGCCATGCTATAGCCTAATCATTTCTTAATTATGAACTAATTCTGTATCCTCAGTTGTAATTCTGGGCATAGTGCTCTGCTGGTGTTTATTTTGTTAGTACTTACATAAAAGCACCCGGGTGACATAAAACTTGGAGAAAGAATTGACACTGTTTTGGTTTCCTTGTCACTATCATACTTATCATGACAAAAGATCTTCGCTTTTTCTCTCTAATCCTCATTTCATCTTTCTGTGTTATATGTTTCCCTTTAGACATAGGACAGTGAGCTCAGATTAATAAGAAAATAGAGTCACAGTTTAAGATAATATTGATTCTGGAGAACAACTGAGGATGCTATGTTTTTTCCTTGAAGAATTGATAGGGTGGAAATCTAGAGGCACCATATGATGTCCTTCTGAAGAAAAGTTCAGGGGGTCATGAAACCCAGGCTTTATACCCCCAGAAAACTGCCAAGTGTATGGATTCTCCTTCACCAGGGGGCCAGGTGATTCTTGAAGGTTAATATAATATGTTTTTTTTTTTGACATGATCTTTCTTTGCTTTTAAATTTTCACAGAAATGGTGTCCACTTCTATACTAAGTGTTCTTTATTGTTTTTATCTTTCCCCTTAGGAATCACAAAGAGAATACTTTGAGATGGGAAAAAAATCTCAGGAAATTTGTCATTTTTGTAAGATGCTGATCTCCTGAATATTTCTCCAAGGTACGCTGCTGCATAGCAATCAGGAATAAGGAGGGCTTTCCTGCTGAGTTAACATATTTCTGTTGTGATGGGAAAAAGTAAAAATTACAGTAATTTTGAGGGTCACTAACGCAACTATTCTACCTCATATGCTTAAACAGAAATATAGTATGTGAGCTGGATTATGGCTACTGCTGAGTTCTTACCCCTGTTTGATTACAGGGAGGCTTTTACCAAGCAGTTAATCTTCTTTAACTAAAATAAACTCTTAACAGTGTTGTCCTGTATTCATAGGAGAATAGTTTGCTACTGATCTCTCTGGTTGTTAACAGAAACTTCAGTTTACTGACAATTAATTCTGGTCGGAATGTTAATGGAATTTATGAAGTAACAGTATAGGGGAAAAAAGCTAAAACACAATGTTTTTTTTCTCTATCTTTTTCAGCGACCCAGACATGTGTCCAATCTAAATAAGGAGGCATCTTCAGAAATTCTTCACAAACACCCCCAAGAAATCATAAAGTGAGGGTCTGTGACCTTTGCCTTTGTAAAGAAAAATGTGTAGATCTTCCCACTGACCGAAGAATGAATATCTCATTAAAAACTTGTTTCAGAGAGATTGGAGCAGGGAGCAGATGTCAGTAGAACTACCAAATTGTATGTTCCTTGTATTACATGAATGTAGTTATTTAAAATAAAATGTTGGTGCTATTATAACAAGAGTATGATAGTATCCTTTTTTTATTTCTTTGCAGATAAATTCCATACAGACATATATGTAATAAAAGTGACTGTTACTATCGACACAATTTCCTTCTGTAAATTGTGTGATCAGTGTAACTTTAGCATCAGGAAGAAATGGTCTTATCTGGGATGCTGAGCATCAAGCCACTCAATTGTTTTGTCTTTTTTATGCTCAAAATAAAAACCAGACCACTATTTAGTTACCATTTACCAGGACTTACTCTTTCCCTGACATTTTCACTTTTGCAGATCTCCTCACCAATCTTGCCTCAGTATTTGTCTTTATTTATAATGATCTACACAGACACCTTGTAGAGTGACTATATGAGTTTCATTAAAATTATACATGATAAATCATCCTGTGCTCTCAGGAGTTGAGATACTAATACAGATACAGAGGATAGGTTAATATGCTCAAAGTCTTGGCAATCACAGCCAATATCACACCAGATGAAAGATAATGCCATCAGTTTCTAAGGCAATGAGTAAGGTCAAGATTAAGATTGTGGCCAAAGCCTGGCCTTCGGTTTGGGAATGGTAACCACACCCTAGATATTTGAAGACATAATCCTTCACAATGTATTTTTCAAATATTTGAATTTGTTTATTAAAATTAAGATATTTTATATAGGAACTCAGATTTCCAGATTCTGTTGAAAAATTTTGAGATCTAAAAATAGGAGCCTAACTCAGTACACCCCCCTTCCTGCTTCAAACATTTGAGTTCTCAACTCTGCTTCAGACATCATGTTTACAAAGTCAAGAGGAAGACCAGAGGTTTCAGTGACCGATAACAGTTCAAGGTTTATTTTATTGTATGTTGTTGGTATCTTAGAATTATGTTGACATCAAACCTGAGAATTTATACAGAATGTGAAGAACAAGACTTCTGTCCACTAAAAAAATATAATTTTATGTTCTGACACTAACTTATCAATATGTTTTGTGAGTATATAAAAATGCAGAACCTTCTCTGTAGATGATTCTAGGCCCATTGAATGTTCTATAAGTGGGTTCAACTCAGGAAGGAAAAAGATGTTAGAGCAACAACAAAACTAACCTTTACAAAACATTTTATTGTATTACCCTTCACTTTGAGAGCCTTTAATGACTTGTTATGGCCCAGTGCGTGGTGTGATTATTTTTTGGTCTTCACTTTATCTCTCTAGTTTTATTTGCTAACATTTTTAAATGACCTTATACAATAAAGTTTGAATAAATGAATAATGAGAGAGTCATAAAAAGTCTCCATGCTTATTTATTTTTTTGTAATTCATAAGATTTAAAAGCAGACAGCTCATATTCTAGTTTAGCACTTATTAGTTATGTGATCTTTAAGACTTAATTATGTGACCTTAATACTTCTGCACTCCAGTTCATAATCTGGCTCACATAAGAATAAACTTGTATAAGAATAAATGTTCCTTATCTCCTTTTCCCATCCATACCATCTGTGATATTGCTCTTTTGGTAGTGTTCTATTAGTTTAGAACGTCTTCTAGGTGGCTTAGAAACTTAATCACACCAAATGTAAGATTTCACACCCATCTCTATGTGCTACTAACACCTACTGTCATAGAGTTTGGCTCACATAATTTAATATTTGTATAATGTATATAAGTTTTTTCCCTGCAACTGTGTTATAACTTTTGAAGGGCAATAGAAATAACTCAGATATCTATAAAAAATAGCCTAGATGGCAAAAATAACTGGCATTTCTATGTCATTTTTTGATAAGCCAAGGGCTTTCATATACTTTATCTGATTTACTACTTTAAAAACTTTTTAAGGGGCGCCTGGGTGGCGCAGTCGGTTAAGCGTCCGACTTCAGCCAGGTCACGATCTCGCGGTCCGTGAGTTTGAGCCCCGCGTCAGGCTTTGGGCTGATGGCTCGGAGCCTGGAGCCTGTTTCCGATTCTGTGTCTCCCTCTCTCTCTGCCCCTCCCCCGTTCATGCTCTGTCTCTCTCTGTCCCAAAAATAAATAAACGTTGAAAAAAATATATAAAAACTTTTTAAGGTGGGTAAGGTAGGTGTTATTTTTATTATCCTAATTTCATATATGAATTTACATATTTCATAACTGAAGGACCTAAATGAAATGTAGATTTTCTGTTTATAGTTTGAAACCATATTTTAATTTATGCCTTCTGACTCTGGATCCAGAGTACTTCTACTACATCATATTGTCTTCTAAGGAACAGGTATAGTGGTAGGTTTATGGTTCGTTGTGAAAATGAAAGTCCATTGTTTGTTGATTTATAAAACATAAGATAGGTTTTAGGATACAGGCAATCTTTTCATCATAGTGATTTACAGATGTGTCTATTTTCAATATCATCACTGTCTGTAGTTATAAGTAAAATTACTCTAGAGGTAAAGGGTGAGATACTTTATTCACCTGGGTTTTGCAGACTTTATTCATCTGGGTCTCATCTGAGACATGTTTTAAGATTATTCAGTAGTTAAATATAGTAGTTAGATAGCCAAAAAATCCATCAGTTCTTAGAGTGGCACACCCTACTTTTTCACCCATTTGTGCCACATTTCTAACCCCAGAAAGTGCTTGAGTTTGCTATATCTGGTAAACACATTGCCTACAAATCATGTTTTACTCTTGGAAACTTTTTCTCATGACCCATTCTCAAGTATATTATCTTTCAGTAGTCTCCAGGATTCAGCTCTATTACATATGGTTTCTACCTAATGGATTCTGTCCTTCCATCCCTGGTAATATTTTCAAGTTAATTATTTGTAGTGTAGTGACATTGCAATGAATAAAAAGTCTACAAGGTGAAAAACAAAAGGTGCTCACAAATAAATGGCTGACTGAATGATGGGTCTGAAATATACGTCTCATGAAGGTACGATCCTCGTTATATTTATTTTACAAGGTCATAGATAATGGATCTGTACTGCTGTAGTCATAGAGAGGACACATGATATAACCCGGGAGAGAAGCAAATGGATCTGAGCGCTGGAGATTGCTCATGTGAAAGGAAAGGTCGGAATACTGATGGGTCATTTGCTGGATGGCTAAGCTGTCAGAACCAAGGTAGTTTTATACAAATGTACTGGGGCTGATTTAGGTTTATTCACCTACCTTTCTAGCAGGTGAAAAGGATGCAAACACAGTTAATCTTTATATTGGTTATCAGCCCTGACAAGAAAAAGAAAAAAAAAAAGATTCTTCAAGAGTTTGTGGCACTCTTAATGTGATAATTGTATCACTTTCCTATTCATATGAGTTAGTGGTTCTCAAACTTTAGTAAGCCTTATAATCACCTGGAGAACTTGTTAAAACATAGATTTCTGTGTCTCCTCTCAAAGTTTCTGATTTAACAGGCATGAGTTGGGACCAGGGAATTGTAGTTCTAACAAGTTCCCAGGTGATGCTGATGATGCTGGTCTGTCAGTAACACTGATGCAGATAAGAAGAGGTATTAGTGTAGCAAATCCTTGGATAGCCCTTATTAAAGCGCCTTTTCAGATGATCTGCTTTAACCTGATTCCTCTATCATCAAAAAATATTCTCGTGATGTTAATACACCTTGCTGGAGTACTGATAACTATCAAGAATGTGTAAAAAACTTCGAGATTTATTTTTGTACATAAAGTAATATTTGCAAATAATTTTAAAATGTAATCTTAATATAAAACCTATAATGGTAACCAGCAATCCCCTAGCCCATTTCCCTCTACTTGTAATTTCTTAAAACCCAGGGCAACAATGTCTATCTTTTATCTTTATTCTGTTATATGCATCCATATTTGTAGATAGCATGTGTGTATTACTGATACTTGATTTTTCTTTCATTTTGCTTTTATATGTTGTTTTCCCAATATATAAAATGTGTATTTAACTGTCTTCACCCTTGTCCTCAACCCCTGGTATAGTTATAAGACAAGTTTTAGTTAAACCAATATTTAGGTAAGAGTATTCATACCTGAATCAAAAAATATGCTATGATTGAACTTTCTTTCTTGTACATTGTCCTTTTTCCCTCGAGCCTTATTAATTGTCCCAGTTTTCATTTGCTTAGATTTTTTATGCATCTCAGTAATTTACCCCACCCTCTTCAGAAGAATTGTAACTCTCCTTTCAATACATTTTTAAAAATAGGCAAAAAGTAAGTTTGTCTATTTGATGTTTTTGTGTGTATTTTTTCAGAACCTTTCAAGGGCTGCTTTCCAACTCCCTTGCACATTCAGGGCTGGATGATCTCTAGGCTTGCTGCCATTTTGCTATCTTCCTTCCTTCTTTGCTTCTGGCTCTCTTGTGTCTTTTTTTTTTTTTTTTTTAATCTGAGTAGGGTTCCTTTGGCCTTAATTTTCCAAACTCTTTTTTAATTATCCTATGCTTGCTATCCCATTTTTACTTTCCAAGAGCTCTTTTTTTTTTTAATTCTCTGAATGCTTTTTTTTTTTTAAATTTCTGTTTCTATGAAGGAACTTTTCCTTAAAGCTCTCTGAGGGAATGGAATTTAGATTTTTAGGTTGGGGGGATTATTTTTCTGAGCCTTACATTGCCTCTTTCCTTCAAGTTTGTTATATCTTTTATTTATTTTGGCCTCCAAATTTTATGTCCAAAGGTCTCCCAAATGTTGGTAATCCTTGGCTACCTGTTCATAGTCATAAGTGAAGTAGTAAAAATACTACTACAAAGATCTGTGGGTTGAGGAGGACTTCCCCCATACAAGCCTGTGTCTATACCTGGAAGTAGTGTCCATATCTGTTTCCATTTTCCAGAGTTAAAGTGGATGGCAGCTTTCTGGGAGCCAAGTAGAAACAGATAGCTTTGGCTAACAATGCTTGGTATACAGACTTATAAGGAACCTTGATTTTCACTACTGTTTGGCATCCTGGTTTTCAATGACTTCTAGTAGCCTGAAAACATACTTCTCGCATTCAAAATCCACTACTGTATGGGTGGGGAGCATAGTGGATGGGCCTCAGGAATCACTTTGTTGTTGGAATTCGGAA